CGACAGGAGGGTGCAGGTTGGGGGGGGGGGGAGGGGAGATCTCAGGGCTGGGGTGGGGGGTCAGCCAAAAAATTTTTTGCTTGGGGCAGCAAAAAACCTAGAGCCGGCCCTGCTCCCCCAGTTGCGGTGTGGACACTCCCTCATTTAGGTTTGATTCTTTCAGAGAGTTTTGAAGTCAACTCATCCCCAACTGTCACTGGGATTGTGGGCCAGGATGTGGTCTTACCCTGCCACATCTCCACCAGGACACAGCCAAACAACATGGAAGTGCAGTGGAAGAAAATCATCCAGGCACATATAGAGACTGTCTATGAATACAGAGCCGAGACAGGCCAGGATGTGCCAGGGCCGAACTACCGGAGCCGGACCGTGCTGTTGAAGGATGGATTCACCTCTGGGAATGTGTCTTTAAAGCTGAAGAACGTCCGACCAGCCGATGGGGGAACGTACAGCTGCATAGTGAAGTCTAACGAGTGGAGCGCTGATGCTGCAACCGAGCTTCAAATTGCAGGTTGGTGATTTCATTGGACAGGGTCAGATTTTGCCTGTCCATTATGTAGATGTGCAGTGAGGAGAGGACACAAGGATCCTTGTTGTCCTGCTCTGCAACCTGTATAAAGGCCAGGCAGAACTCCAGTCCCTGTCCCTCACGGTGCCCTGAGGGTGCTGAGCAGGAGGCAGACCGACCTCAGCCTCATATGAACCAGCCTGTGGAGCTGCTCAGTTCTGCAAGAGGCTGCAAGCTGCATGTAGCAGCCTGTGTACACCTAGGAGCTCTGGAGTAGGACAATTCCCCACCGGCCCCTTACTCTAAACTGTGCCTGTGCGGGGCAACTGAGCCCTAAACGCACAGAATATGAAACACTGGTCCTGGTTTTCATTCACACCAAGGACTCCTTATGCTGCACTGGCAGTGTAAAGGGGTCTTAAAGTGGGCAGAAATGGCCCCTTGATAATAGGCCCTGGGCAGGTCTCTGGCTGGCTTAATGGCTTTGCACCCACTCAGCACCCAGCCTCCAACAGAATGGCAGATTGGGATGTGTTAGACACCTGGGCAGAGCACAATGCACCATGGATATCCTCTGCTTACCAAGGCCCTTGGGGACCAGCTGCTCTAACTTACACCAGGGGGCTGGGCAGGCCTTACCTAGCCCCAGAATACAGAGAGAGTGAAGGTGGCTTAAAGCCATTTCTCTCTTCCATCCTTGCCCCAAGTGCAGGGACAAGGGAGCGGAGAAACAGACCCAGCCCACTGAGATGACTGTCTCAGGGCGTGTCTGCACTTCATTGTAGACACACACTACAGCAACAGGAGGGGTTCTCCCATCACTGTAATGAATCCATCTCCCCGATGGTGAAAGTGAGGTTGACAAAGAATTCTTGCATCAATGTAGTGCTGTCTACACTGGGGTTAGGTTGGCTTAACTGCATCACTCAAGAGTGTGGATTTTCCGCACCCCCCGAAACGATGTAGCTGTGTTAACCTAACTTTTGAGAGTAGACCTGGCCTGAGTGTTGGCATTGGCATGTGGCATTTGGGAGGCCAGGCAGCTGTACAACTTGCCATTTATTGTGGAGACTCGCCATGATCTGGAATCCCCTGGAGAAGCATGTGAAGAATTTCTTTGAACTCAAGTAGGAAAAACACAGAAATTGGGTCCATGTCCTGAGTTAAAAATATAACCATAAGAAAGTGACAACGCTGTTTCCCTGAAGACAGTCCCTTCCGAATCTCTCTTTTCTTGTTTTAGCTGTTGCCTCAGTATCCATCGACGTGCTGGGTCCCCAGGGCCAGGGGATTGACCTAGCCTGCAGGTCAACAGGTTGGTTCCCCAAACCTGAACTCCACTGGGTTACAAAGAATCGGCAGGATCTGCAGCCTGTGACCAAAACAGAGCAGGATCATGAACTTCTCTTCAGTGTTCTGAGCCAAGTCACAATCCTGGGAGAGGAAACTGGAGAAATCAGCTGCGTTATCCAGAACAGCCTGCTGAAAACAGAGCAGAAATCTGTCATTCTCCTCTCAGGTGAGTCCTGTGCATGCTTTAGCCTTGGAGCTGCTTCTCTGCCCAGAGTCATGTCCCATCAGGCACTAGTGTCCGTATTATCGAGATAAGAATGTGGCAGAACACAGCTTCCTACATAACTCAAAAGGATGCTGCCCTAATACTGTTAGAAGGGCTCCATTGAGTTAGGTGCTGTACAAATAACTTAACTAGACAGTCTCTGCCCCAGAGAGCTCACAGGGTAGGATTAGAACAGGAAGAAACATACAAAAGGGTAAGTTGAGTGGAAAAGGCAACAGGAAAAGAGGTAGTTTTTGCCTGCAGTATGACTTAGCGGACAAAGCACTGTACTGGGACTCAGGAGACCTGGGTTCTGTTCCCAGCTCTGCCACTGGCCTGCTGGGTGACCTTGGGCAAGTCGCATCCCCTCCCTGTGCGTCAATTTCCCCATTTTACAAATGGGGATAATGATGTCGCTCTCCTTTGAGATCCACTAATAAAATACAAGAGCTAGAGATAATTATTACTAATCAGTTATCTCAGCTGTCTCATTCTGGGACTTATTAGAACTTGGATAAATTAACCAGTTGTTTAGCAGCAATAGGAGACCCACTTCTAACTTTTATTCTCACAAGACATCTCTCTAAATCTGACTCCCATTCACTTGTATGTGTTAACCAGCAATAGAGACTGGACAGCTTCAGATTCCAAACTGGTGTGAAATAACAGCCAGTCAAATATGTCAGGAATCGCTACATTGATGTATAGTTCCCCCAGTGCAGAAAGCCAAAACAAGGTTTATGAACCACATTAGTCCTATGTAAGTCCAAGAGGTCTTGCGCTGGCCACATATCCTGGGGTGAATTTTACCTCTGAAGAATGTGCAGTGATGTTCATTGATCACTCAGGGCAGTAGCTGAAACTGATTTTCTTGATCTTGATGTGTGAACTCTAAAATCAGTGGGCCAAATCCTCAGATGGTGTAAATGGCAGTAGTTCTACTGACTGCAGTAAATCTATGCTCATTACACTAGCTGAGGATCTGGCCCATTGACTCCGGTGGAGTGGGACCAATTTACATCAGCTGGGAATCTGGTCCGGTGTCTTTATCATTGCCCAAAATTGCTAAGGACCCAGGAGCAGATTACGATGTCATCGCTGACACCGAATAAAACAATAATCGGAAGTTAGTCCCATTGGTTTGAAAGAGTAAGTTTCAATTTACTGTGAGTAAGGAGAAGCTGGTCCAGGGGCGCTGGAACAATTTGTATAGTGGGGGTGCTGAGAGCCATTGAACCAAACTGTAAACCCTGGATATAATGGAAACCACTGGAAGCCCGGGGGACCATGGACCCGGACTCATTGTTCCTACATGTGGGGAAGAGATGGCATGTTTCCAGGGTAACATTTTTTAATCTATTGTTTTGAAAGGTGATATTTTCCCTCATGGTTCTCCATGGCTTGCTGCATTCTGGGTGTTATTTACTTTAAACCTTCTTGCGATGGGTGCCTGTGCATTTTGGGGATATAAAGGTAAGTGCATTCTCTTACTGTTTAAAGTCCATCCACAAAGGGCGAAATAATAATCATAAAATTATAATCAATTGAAACCCAAACATCAAACTAAATTGAACTACAATGTTTATTGGTGCTCAGAAAGACTTCAGGATTAATTTATTTTTTTATGCTTGTTCATCTCTGATTAACATCTAATTCCAGAAGATGAAATTTTAAAAAATGGTCTGTTCTAGTATTTTGAATAGAAGTAGGGAAGTTATTTTACCTATATATTTGGCACCGGTGTGATTGCTGCTGGAATCCTGAGTCCAGTTCTGGTGCCCTCAATTCAAGAAGGATGCTGGTAAACTGGAAGTGCCACAAGAATAATTAGAGGATTAGAAAATATTGCGTAGATTGACAGACTCCAGGAGCTCAATCTGTTTAGTTTACCAAAGAGAAGGTTAAGGGGTGACGTGATCTCACATTTTATAGCCTACATGGAGAACAAATATTTGATAACAGGCTCTTCAGTATAGCAGAGGAATGTACAACGAAATTGAACAACTGGATGTTCAACCTACACAAATCCAGACTGGAAATACAGCATATATTTTTTTAACAGTGAGGGTAATTAACCACAAGAACAATTTACCAAGTGTTACAGTGGATTCTCCGTCACTAGAAATTTTTAAATCGAGACTGGGTGTTTTTCTAGTGTGTTCCAGTTCACCTGTGAATTTTTTAAGGAAGTTTGAAGGCCTTTGTTATAGACAGGGGCGGCTTTATGTATTTTGCCGCCCCAAGCACAGCGGTCAGGCAGCCTTCAGGACTGGCGGACCTCCTGCAGGCATGCCGCCGAAGGCAGCCTGACTGCCGCCCTCACGGCGACCGGCAGGCCGCCCCACCACAGCTTGCTGCCCCAGGTATGTGCTTGGAGCACTGGTGCCTGGAGCTGCCCCTGGTTATATAGGAGGTCAGACTAGATGATCACAGTAGTCTTTATAATCTATGAATCTATGAATTTCATACAGAAATAAAATGAGCACAATCTTAGGCCTGATCCTGGAAAAAACTATTGTGCATAGTTCTTACTGCCCTGGATACTCCAACTGACTTCACTGGAATTTAATGAGATTACTCAGAGTTGTAAGCACTATACTTGGGAATGCAGCTTGTCAAATTTATTTTTATTTAATTTTTTCACCAAAATATGGTCCTTATTACAGGATTATTTTTATAAAAACATTTCAATTTTTTCAGAATTTTCCAATTCTCAGCAGAATATATGTTTTTCAAAATCTCTTTTCTATTTTTATTGGCTATTTGTTTTTGTATTACCGATTTTGACTGGTCACTGTGACACATGGCGCATTTTTTTTAATATCTGAAAATTTCTTTTTAAAGTATTTCTGCATCTAAAATCAAAACAAGTTTGCTTAAAAATATTTTGACAGAAAATTTGGAAACTGAAGCGATGGACTCATAAAACACAGCAGAATGGAAAATATTTTCAGATTTGCCAGAACGTTAGTAGTATTTTGTTATATTTCTCAACCCTTTCTAGATGACCTCCTGAGGTCTCTTCCAACCCTAATCTTCTATGATTCTAATTATTTGCAAGATCAGGTCTGTATACATTTGATAAGAGGAAATATTCTTCTAATACAAATTCCACAATTTATGAGTATAAAAAGCATGTAAGAAGCAGTTTGACATTATCAATTCAAAATACTTTTATACATACTGAAGCATTCAATGCAGGGGCGCTCCCTGGGTGGCTCTTACCACTGCACAACTCCGGCTTCCAGCCTGGCCAGGGGGCAGGGCCCCGGGGGAAATAGGAGGAACAGGGGCAGGGGCAGGGCCAAGGAGGGGTGGGGCCTCATTCCCATCACACACACACTTCTACCAAGGTTTTGGGGCTCCTGGTTCAATAACATTAGAATATACATCATTGACGCCTATTTCCACAAACCTAAATTGTTCATGAAGTATTTTTGTTTCTTGTCCCTCCCCTTTTCTTAACCATTCAGTTTTCTCTATATTTAAATTCTTCCTTCTGCCAACCACAAATAGTATATCAAATGTGCACTGTACTAATTATGTTTTCTATTTGAATAACAAAAGCACTTTGGTAAACATCTGTTTTATTGTATCTCTTTGGCATGCCAACAATTTACTCAGCACACCAAAATCTTTGATTCTTAATCTTACAGTCAAGCAGGCAAGGTCTAAGAAAAAAAGATCAAAAGAAGAAACTTTATTTCTATGGGGTAATGTATTTCTTTTTCTTAAATTATCCTTGATACATTTTTACTTAGTTTTGACATGTCTGTTTTAACTGGAATTATTTTTTTCTTGCATGATTTTTATATGTATAACACTTGATTTCCTGCCATAATTTAAAGCATGTAATAAAATTATTAAACAAGACAATTTATTTTTAATATCTATTTCACTCATCAGTGGAATCAGGCCTGTACAGCCTGACAGCTTCCCTTAAATGTCTTATGACATCAGATAAATGTCAATAAACCAGAAGACAGTGTATCAGTCATTATACTGATCTCAAGGTGCATGTGTAAAAATAAGCTCATCTCACATTCTTTTGTGATATTTCCTCCTCTTTCCATATCCCCACCTATTTTCACTCCTTGCTTTGTTAAATCTATTTCACGGGCTGATCCTGTAAAGCTTTATTTGCCAGAGTGCACCACCCCCACTATGAAATCAGGGAGGTGTGAGTATGTTCAGGGGGCTTGATACTCAGTATCCCTAGAGGCACAAAGGGGCAGGATAATGAACCCCACCCCTGGGACAGCGACAGAGTTCAGTGGACATATACCGTATAATCTTGGCCCCTTTGAGTTTGAGGGGAGCTTTGCCCCTGACCTCAATGAGCCAGGATGTCACCCACAGTCAGTACATAATAATCGCTGCCTCCCCTGAGGCAGTGTGGTCCAGTGTAGTGTAAGACTTGAGCAAGCTCATGTCTGTTCTTGGTTTAATGACTGACCTTGGGCATGTCACGTTACCATGCCTCAGTTTCCCCAACTGTAAAATGGGGATAATGACACTCCCCTCCTTTGTAAAGTGTTTTTGGATCTAAGGATGTAACACACTAGATAAGAGCGAGGTGGTAGTATTATCCAGCTGCGCTCCCTAGCCACAGAGTCAGGCTAGGCCACAGAGCTCAGCTGCCATAGGTCCGGGGTTTAGCCCTAAGTGTGGAACAAAGAGCCAAAATAAGGGGTATGGTTCAGAAGCAGGAAGCTTGAGATAGATTTAAATAGATTGAGAGAGATGAAGATGCCACAGTTAGAGGGTAGCTGCACCTCTGGGCCCTCTACAAGCTCTCTTGGCTTTACTTTTTCAAGTGACAGGCCCGGTGCCATCCCTATTCTAAGGGTGGAATCCCGTGATTCTCCCACTGACAGCCCAAATTCCCAGGCCACAGCCCTCCCGTTTACCAGTCGTGTTTCCTTAGTCGGGCCAACTGGGTTTGGCGCCTACAAGAGGCCTCCAAGAGCTGTGATCAGTATGAAAATGTGAAGACTCCAGACAGCTCCTTCAAAAGGACATATTGTTTGTTTACCCATAGGAAGATGGCATTCAGAGAAAGAGAATTAGATTCAGATCATAGTTAGAAGGGACCTCAGGAAGTCATCTAGTCCAACCCCCTGCTCAAAGCAGGACTAATCCCCAGACAGATGTTTGCCCCACATCCCTAAATGGCCTCCTCAAGGATTGAACTCACAGCCCTGGGTTTAACAGCTAATGCTCAAACTACTGAGCTATCCCTCACCCATTAGTGATATAACTGGTAACTTTCCTATCAAACATAACCTCCAAGAACATTCTGCAAGGTGTTTTTCATTAACTGTGTATTACAAATCATCACGTAGTTTTATAGTAATGTGTTATTCTCTCCCATGCAGAAACTGAGAAGACGACCTTGGAATCAGGTACAGTAACTTTACTTTCAGGACTGAAAATTTCAGTTATGGGTTTTCAAACTATGATTAAAAAGAAACAATGAGACATAAATACTGTGACATGTTCTGGCTGTGCCATAAATATCCTGTGTGACCTTACACAAGTCATTTATCCTTCCTTCCTCAGCTTCCCCATCTCTAAATAGAATAATAATACTCATCTACTTCCAAGGAGTGTTGTGAGAATTTGTTTGTAAAGCCAGATAGGTGCAGTTCCCTCCCATCCAGAGAGCCAGCGCAAGAGCTACACGCCACTCAAAATAGGACTTAAGCAGAACTTAAGTGACTTACGTGGTGCATAGGCATCATGTGAGCAGGAGTGCTGGAACAGTCTGTATAGTTGGGGTTCTGAGAGCCATCGAACCAAACTGTAAACCAGTGGTTCTCAAATTTTTGTACAGGTGACCCCTTTCACATAGCAAGCCTCTGAATGCGACCCCTCTTATACATTAAAAGCACTTTTTAATATATTTAATACTATTATAAGTCAAAGCGGAGTTTGGGGTGGAGGCTGACAGCTCGCAACCCTCCTTGTAATAACCTCATGACCCCTTGAGGGGTCCCGACTCCCAGTTTGAGAACCCCTGCTGTAAACCCTGTATATGATGGAAACCACTTCAAGCCAGGAGGTGCAGCAGCATTCCCAGCATCCCTAGTCCCAGCACCTATGCATGTGGGTCCTCTACACTCAGGGCCAGCTCCAGGCACCAGTGAAGGAAGCAGGAACGCTCTTCGGTGGCAGCTCAATCGGGTTTTTCTTTTTTCTTTTTTTTTTGCCACTTGGGGCGGCAAAAAAGCTGGAGCCAGCCCTGTCTACACTGGGTTGATTTCACCCTAGATAGGTATTATTAGTGTTAGAAGCCACCTCCAGTTTGGAAGAGCAAAGAAAAGCACTTGAACAGGGGAGAACAAACATCTAGCACTGTTCATTATTATTAATATTACTGTGTTTTAACTGTATCTCTTAAGAGCACCTCCAGAGAATCAAAAATTAATAGCAGATCTTTCTTTGCAACTAAATCCACTTAGCCTTTCCTATTGCAGACTACTTCATTTGGGAAATCAGTGCTACAAATACGTTCCACTTCAGTTGGGGGGGCGGGAGGGGAGAGGAAGCAAACAATTCCTTAAGTGAAAGGATTAGGCAGTTTTCAAACTTTTAAATGTAAACAGGTCATGGCCTTATCTACATTAGAAAAAGTTTTGCTAGTATAGCAATCTAATGGCTAGGTGTGTGATAATTTTATGAGATTGCTGTTAGCATAGATGCCGTTATATTGGAAAAAATGTGCTTTTTCTGGTATATCTTATTTCACTTGCTGATCCACAGTAAGATATATTAAGATATATTTTTCGCCAACATAAATAGGGCTTTTGCTGGCATAATAATCCTTGTAAAAATATCACTTCCCTCCATATGTGACTATATCTGCATTAGAAATGCTACAGCAGTGGAAGGGGTTATTCCATCATTGCAGTAAATCCACCTCTCCAAGAGGCAGCAGAAAGGTGGATGGAAGAATTCTTCTGTCAACCTACCACTGTCTACACTGGGGCTTAGGTCAGCTTAACTCTGTCTTTTAGGGGTGTGAAATTTTCACATGCCTGAATGACGCAGCTGGGTCGACCTAACTCTCTAGTGCAGATCAGCCCTTCAATGTAAAAACTGATTGCTTACCACTTTTATAGTGAACATTAGTTTTGCCTTTTTCTACCCAGAGAAACACAGTGTATGTTTCAGAGTAGCAGCCGTGTTAGTCTGTATCCGCAAAAAGAACAGGAGGACTTGTGGCACCTTAGAGACTAACAAATTTATTAGCGCATAAGCTTTTGTGGACTACAGCCCACTTCTTCGTATATTTTTTTTTAAATATTTAAGTATGTTTTAATAAATATTTACATTAGAATTGTCATATCATTGCAAAGACAAAACTGCAAAGACAAAACTGATACCTTGTCAAACAAGTTTTGGCATTTAACAGTTTATCAATTGAGCTAACTGTTTGGATATTTTTTCAAGAGTTTTACTTATCTTCTTGTTTTGTACAGAGAGCAAGATACTGGAACATATGTGGATATTTATAAATATGTCTTGCTTGGTGTGCATGTATATAGCCTGTTGACAGCAGCAGATTGTAAAGGGTACATTTGGCAGATGTTTACTTCCTGTGCTGCCTAGCAAATTGTAGTAGGTATGTCTTGACATTCCACTGAATTCAAGGGAATGGCTGTATTAAACTGTAGCATACGAGTTGTAGGTGGGGTCCAATAGCCAATTAATTATCGATAAGTATCATTTTGTGGATTTTGCTGTACTTTCCAGAAAAACAGATATATTTACATGTGTAAAGCAGCCCACTACAAGATAAGGAACAAATTCTAGGATATTTACAGCTAGTACTGTGGCATCCACTCTATATGCATCCGAAGAAGTGGGCTGTAGTCCACGAAAGCTTATGCTCTAATAAATTTGTTAGTCTCTAAGGTGCCACAAGTACTCCTGTTCTTTTTACAGTGTATGTGTTTCACAGGATGACCTTAAATTTCTATTTTAAAATATTAAACTGGTAATCAAAGCTTTTTTGTTTTCCTTTTACAGAGCGTGCGGAGCTACTGGAACGACTAGGTATGGTTCATTTTATGGTTCAGAATAAATAAACATCTGTAATTGTACAGTGTAAATTGATTTATGGGTAATTTGGAAACATGGGTATATAAAGGGATTCTAGGATATTACATTAAACAGTGAGTAATATGTAGTATCAAAAGACCTTAGAGATAAGTTTATCCAATATTCTTCCTAACAGTCTATCTTCTCCCCGCACCTCCCATCCTTACTCTCAATCTGTGATCTAAGTTTCAGCTTGATGACTATAAATAATCATAACATTAAAACTACGGAACTGAGTTTCTTCAGACTTGGTTTAGTAACTCCTCAACAGCAAGCTATGTTTAAAGTTTATATTCACTGTTGTGGGAAGGCACCTCCTTCACCACACCAGACTCAGCATTTTCCCCTCTGGTGATGGAAGAGAGGGAGGGGGCTGAGGTAAATCAACTCACTCCACATGGATGGTATTTGGGGGTTTATTTCTCACTGTGTTCCAGGTAGGCCTCAGGGCAGGCCCAAGGAGTGCTCCTCCGCCAAACAAACGAATGACATTCATAACACAGTACAAAGTATAAATATTGTCAAGGGCGAAATTAGCTACTCAGTAAATTTTACATTTTCTGAGCCAAAGGCATTGCCTTTACCACTATTAACCCGGGGGATTTGTCTACATTCGGTAGATTCTCCTCAGTTCACCTGTTGAAGGAAGGTTCCTCTATCCATCAGAAAAATAATCTGGAGAGTAGTCCAGCTCCCAGCAGAGCCACAAAAAACTCAGGGAAAGATGTCACTTTCCTCACTCCCCTTGGAGAGGGACAGAATTTAGGGGACACTGTCAGACTCCAGAGGTTGAAATGGGAAAATGAAAACCAGTGGTGCTCTTTTGACCTCCAGCCCCTTGGGGCAAAGTTAACTAATGATTAGTGTAATAACAGATAAAGCTGTAGAACTAGTGAATAAACTGCATTTATTTTGGATCTCTGGTTCCCTCATTTATGCGCTTACCATTAATCTATCTCTCCTTGGACTATATCTGCCATACCAAGACTCTGAGCAGACAGTGGAAGTGAGCTACAGCAAGGAATAAAGCTATCATAGATTTCCCTTTCGTTTTTCCCTCTAATGTGTTTCAAACAGCCTTCGTCTCTTGCTCACTCCCTTGAGATTTTCAGTGAAAAGAGACAATCTAGCCCTCAATATGAAAACTAAATTAATTTAGTCTTAATTTAACTGCACTTCTGGAAACATCCAGTAAACTGTGCCCTCTGCTCTAATAAAAGTAAATAATACCAGATCTTTCCATTTCAGGCAGAGCAGTCACAGAACTAGGTAAGCCAAGACATTTTTCCTTCATGTGTTTGTATATATAACATTGACACCTGGGGTTCAGCAGCAGCATGGTTTGAAGCTGGAATTTCATGCAGGAGTCTCTGCTGCCTAACCCAAAATACCTAGCTCCTTAACCAAGCCTGTTATAGGCCTATCAAGTTCTAGGTGGATTAGCCAGCACTAGAGTGGGACAAAGTATGTAGACACAAATCCTACTCTGAGCAGAAGCAATATGTTCTCTCAGTTCTGCAGTGGTAGCAACAGAGTGGCTCAGAGAACAGGGCTCTAGCAAGTCAAGAATCTGCCCCTAGCTTCCTGAGGGACTTTGGAGAAGTCACTCCCAGTTTCTGGGTTTCAGATTCCCCTTTGGTAAACATAGACAATAATATTGGCTGAGTGGAAATTAAGGGCCTTGTGGTGGAGTGGTTCTGCTTACATAAGTGATCAGTGACCCAGAGTCTAGGTAATACCTGGTGTAATCCATTTAATTACAGAAATATACACAAACTCTGCTGTTTCTCTGAACAGCGGTGTGAACATACAGCATGCAGACCTATTCCAAAATCCCACACCCGACACTCCAGCTAGTCCTGTGCCCAAGAAACCGTTATCCCTCAGCCTCTGCTTCCTTCCCTGGGTCACACACAACTGCTGCTGCTTACTCACTGCAACTGTGAGCCTCTGTGTTTCCATCAAGGAGACCCCCTTAGTAGGGTTGCCAACTGTCTAATCGCACAAATCCAAACACCCTTGCCCCGCCCCTTCTCAGAGGACACGCCTCCCACTCACGCCATCCCCTGTCACTCGCTCTCCCCCACCCTCACTCACTTTCACCAGGCTGGGGCACAACATTGGGGTGCAGGAAGGGGTGCGGGTGTAACACCAACAGACCCTGGTCGTCAGCGGGCAGGATTGAACAGGGAACCTCTGGAGCTTAGTGCATGAGCCTCTACTGCATGAGCTAAAAGGCAACTGGCTGTTAGCTAAGGCTGTAGAGCAAACTCTTTTAAATCTCTCTGTAAGTGGTCTTGGTGCCATTAGATGGGACAGAACACCACACCCAAGAGGTGTGTGCATTACACGGGCTCTGAGAGGGAGTTTGGGTGCAGGAGAGGGCTCAGGGCTGGGGCAGGGGGCTTGGGTGCGGAAGGGGGTGAGAGGTGCAGGCTGTGTCCGGGCGGTGCTTTCCTCGGGTGGCTCCCGAAAGCCACCAGCACATAACTCTGGCAGTGGCTCCTAGGCAGGGGGAATGGGGGTCTCCGCACCCTGCCCCTGCCTGCAGGCACTGCCCCCGCAGTTCCCATTGGCCACAGTTCCCAGCCAATGGGAGCTGTGGAGTCAACACTCGGGGAGAGGGCAGCACACGGAGACCCCCAGGGTTGTTCCTACTGTTGGACATAAAGGTTTTAGGCCCCCATCCCCATTTATTCTAAAAAGCTCTGTGGTTGTCTTGTCTCCAAGACCCCAATGGCAGAACCTTTCACTATAACAATATTCACTTTCCTTTATACAGCACTTTGAGATTTGCAGATGAAAACAATAATATGAGCTCTAAAGTGGTAGGATAGCCATAGGCTGGTTCTGAAGCCCTTACCCATTGAAAGTATTCTCACTAGAGTCAATGGGACTTTTCCTGAGCAAGGACTGGAGAAACTGGCAAATATGAATGCTCACTGTCATGAGTTCCATTAACCTGGTGATTCTTCATTTGCAGATTTCAGGAAGGTTCAGAGCTACATGGGTGAGTTTAACTCTGTAATTAGACTGCCACCTTATTAGGGCTAATTTTCCAGACTCTGAGGGAACAGGACATATAGAGCAATGGTATATGAAGAATAGAGGCACTCATAGTCTGGATGTGAAGGCAAGATCTAAGCTAATGGAAAATACTAACGTTTGGAAGGAGTCTTTCTTTCTTATAATTTGACTCAGATAGTCAACAAGCTGGAATTTGTACATCAATCAAATATGAATTTTATATTTATGTTGTTTTTAATAAAATGAGTGGGGTCTATTTATAATTGTACAGCTTCTACAGTCCAGATCTAGTGCTTTTCATACACTAAAATAAAGAAAATATGTTTCAAGTGTATCCCTAAAGTAGGGATGCCACTATCTTGATTCAGGAAGTAAAGGCTGGAATGTAATTTCCTATCACAAATAAAACAGGAGAAATTGTTACTTAAAATATTTGCTTTAACATTAGAAGCCATTCCTTTTCTCCTCAGGACTTCCTTTGATTTTGAGATCTGACTCACTTGGGGCTAATGGGGTTATTCTAGTCCCACAGCTGCAGGATCACAGGGTCCCTGACTGACCCATGGCTAATCAGGTTATTCTGGTCTCTCTCCTGTGAGATCAGGGATTCTGTGACTGACCCATGGCTAATGGGGTTATTTTGATCTCTCTTCCCAGTTCCCATCACCCTGGATCCAAGTTACAAACACCCTGAACTCACCGTGTCCGCGGATGGCAGAAGGGTTTGGCACAACCCCTCTTCTCAAGGGTCGTCTGCCCCCTCCGGGACCCTGATCGCTGTGGGGAGGGAGGAGTTTATGGTCAGGAGGGATCATGGTGGTGAGGGCGGGGTTTGCAAATGGTACTGGGAGGTGGAGATTGGGGACAGCCCAGACTGGGAGCTGGGGGTGCTGAATAAGACTGTGAGGGAGAGAGTGAGACAGGAGAAGCTGGAGAGACTCCCTGAAGGGGGGTGCTGGGCTCTGGGGAGATCTGGGGGGTGGTATCACCCCAAGGAGGCTGACACTGTGATCAAGAACTGGGATGTGAAACCAACAGTAGTTGGGGTGTATCTGGACCTAGAAGAGGGGAATCTCTCATTTTATAGTGTCAATTCAATGGCCCTTATCCTGGAGATTCCTGTCAAAGGTTTGGAGATTCCTGTCAAAGGTTTGGAGATTCCTGTCAAAGGTTTGGAGACTCCTGTCAAAGGTTCAGAGATTCCTGTCAAAGGTTCAGAGATTCCTGTCAAAGGTTCGGAGATTCCTGTCAAAGGTTCAGAGATTCTTGTCAAAGGTTTGGAGGGATTGTTCCCATTCCTCAGCCCTGGTCATGCTGCGGGGAGGGACCAGGGGAAACCCCTCAGCATCTGCCCCCCTAGGGACTGGGATTTCTTCAGTGGGTCTGTTAGTCAGGGAGCTCCCAGAACCCCAGCACATCCCACTGCCCCCAACAATGGAGAAGGGGCAGAAAACAACACAGGACTACCTGCCACAGAAGAAACAATTCCAGCCCCTGGACAGCGCCCTGCTCCTGAAGACCAGGTTGTGAAAGGAAAGAGAGCTGGGCAATCTGTGATCAAATTTTTGCGAAAGCCCTTATCCTTGCTAAAGGGGGATAAAACAGAGCAAGAGCATCTACCAGCAGAAGAGGGGACAGAAACACCAAACCCTGAGATCTCAAACACCCACCTGCAAGAAACTCACCAGGCTAAAGCCCTCCTGCAGGGTAAAAGGAACCGAAAAGAGAAAAACACTCAGAACTTGAATCCAGAAAGGATCTCTGGAGCTGACACTCCTGTTCTGCAGATTTCAGAGTCAGGAAATATGACAAGACAATCAGATCCAAACACTGACACCTTGGAAAGAACCTTGCCTCACAGAGAGTCTAGAAATGGTGACACTTCAGATGTTTCCTCCCCCTTGAACTCAAAGGAAAACTGCAGTGATTAGTGATAATACTTTAAAACTCACACTAATTAAATAGGAAGGTGTTAACTGGAGGGAACTATGCTAGTGCTATTTTAAGGTTAGGAATTTAAATACACAGAAGTCAGGAAATGCAGAAGGGAAGGTTCTTACAGTGACACTAACTCTCACACATTGGAGACATATGTGCTCTGCTGCTGCTGCCCTTATTCAGTTTGGTACTAGTGTGATTGGATGAATGAAGCCCTCACAGTATAGGACCAGAGTCTGATATCCATACTCATGTGCAATAGCACCTCATTCCAACATCAGTCCTATTGACTTCAGTGAGATCACTCATGGAGTAAGGTACTATGCAGCATGAATAGAGACACCAGACTCAGGCCAATCACAAACTGTGTGTGCAGTGCAGATGAGTTAGTGTTACTCAGAGAACTTTACCTTTTGCACTTCCTGATTTTTGTCCATTTATATACCCAGTTAATAGGACCAACATTTTTCAGAAAGGGAGAGAAGGTGCAGGGACCACAATGTCAAATAAAATGCACATTTGGTTACTTTGACACCTACATAGATAAATGTGCATGCAAATGGCTAATTTATACTTGCAACTGTGGTAACTGCATATGCAAATACTAGTGCACAAATGCATACTTTGCAGGGAAAGTGAGCCTCTACCTTTGGGAAATTTACCCATAACTTTAAACTTGGATTTTGTGTATAATCTCCCTGTTTATCACACACAAAACAAAAAGAAAGAAAATTCCAGCGCAATGTTGCATGCAGCTATGAAAATGTAAAGTCCTTGGCTTTCTGTGTACTGGGGGTAAACTTTTCAAATGTGCCTAGGTGAGTTAGGATCCTATGTCCTGCTTCAGAAGTGACTTGGGCACTTAAACTGATCATCAAAGGTATTTAGGCACTTAACTCACATTAAAATCAAGTGTAGACACACCCTTAGGCTCTAAAAAGTCAGTTACTTTTGAAAAGGGGATTTAAGTTACTAAATCACCTAGGATCATATTTTTATAGGTATTTAGGTGTCTAGCTTCCATTTAAATAAATACCTTTAAAAATCTGACCCTTCTGAATTTTTTTTATTATACCTTTAAATGTTTGAGAACACTCCTAGCACAGAGTTGAGTAGCTGTTTTGTAGAAGGTTTGGCAGCTAATAGCCAAGGAGACACGTGCTCGCACGAACACATGCGTCTGCACGCGCACACACACACACGCACACACACACACTGTGCTCTCACAGAGACATTACTTTTGTTCTCTCTTCTTGTTGTTTTCTTTAATCCAAAATACCCTGGAGGTGTTTGTGTTCCTTTTTGTGTATGGAAACATACAAATTCAGGCAATGAGTATGGGAGTGTAAACAGTGCCCTATTATTGCCTAGGCTGATGAGGCCTAGGTCTAGGGTGGCAAATTTGCAGGGGCAGCAAATTTGAGCACCCAGGGAGAAGCTCCCCTCTGCACCATGCCCCCCTGCTCCAGCTCACCTCCACCTCCGCCTCCTCTGCAAGCACGCAGCCGCGTCCTGTTTCTTTCCCCTCCCTCCCAGGGCTTGTGCTGCGAAACAACTGTTTCGCAGGGCAGGGAGGGAGGGGGAGGAGGGAGAACGCCGCGTGCTGGGGAAAGAGGCGGGGATTTGGGAAAGGGATCCAATAGGGGCAGGGAGGGGGCGGAGTTGGGGCGCAGACTTTGGGGAGGGGGTTGGAATGGGGGCGGGGAAAGGTTGGAGTCGGGGCAGGGCCAGGGTGGCAAAAACTTTAATCCGCCACTGAGTGTAAAGCAGAAGGAGGAGCTCAGAGAAAATGAGGAAGCTGTTAAACAGTATCCTAAATAGAAACAAAGGACGAAAATAATGGTTTGGAAATACAGAATTTGCAGGTATATGAAGAAGAGGCAATATCTGAAATATACATTCATAGGCTTGGACAGTATTTTCATGTAAATACTATCAATGTGTTCCAAAAAGAAACTTGTAACTAGAGAAGGAAATAAATGGGATAGGAATAAATAAATAATCCAAAGTGAAGATAAAGACAAAAAATTGGGAAGAGGAGAAAGGAGAGAGTCTGTTGCCTTTATTGTACTGTGCTATTGTAATCAAAGGAGTAATGTTTAATGTGATGGTTTTATCATTTCTGCAGCAAATATGAAGAATATGCCTTTGGTTTACATACAAAGTTTTTCTTTTCATTGTTCTAATAAAAATATAGTTGACGTGGTCAGGTTATATTTTGATGCTATTTTTAACTGAAGCTGGGGTATAAAATCTATGTTTCAAATGAAAATTGAATTAAAACTCACCACCATCATCAAAAAACCCCTCACTCTGGCTTTGACTTCACTAGTATAAATTGAATGTTTTTAAAATCCCAGTGTTAAAACCCCAGTGCGGGGTTAAAACCCCAGTGCAGACAGGACAATTTGTATTTCAACATGTTAGCTGGTAGGGGTTGGCCCTAGGGGGCAGCCCAAGCTTTATCTTGACTGGTTTAACATATTTTAAAGGCACACAACCTTGTCTAGACTAGACTTTTAAAATGTGTTAGTGCTGTGGCTTTGCTCTCCGCTCAAGATTAATAATATGCAGAAATCACAGAGATTCAGCTGGGTTCCAAATAACCATGTTTATTAACTGTTTACAGCTATACCTATGCTCAGTGCTGCTCAGGGAGGGTTCTGGTGGCTATAGCAATAGAAGATTGGGAGATGAACTAAAGTTCCATTTTAAGGGATATTACCCAATTCCTATACACTACATCCTGCTGCACCTTTAGCATGGAAGGGCATACAAAAGAATTACAGATGTATTGCTATCCAAACTATGATTAATAATGCACGGCATGCTACCCATTCAGTCTGAGAGGTTGTTTGTGACATCTATCCAGACAGCATCTCATAGGCATCACAGCAGGATCTGGGACAGCATCTACAATTTCTAGAGTAACTGTGTCTGCAACTCCATGCTCTGTAGCATAAGGGTGACTTGTAATAGGAAAAGGGCCATGATGCTCACAACTGTTATTGCCAGTCACTCTCTGTGACTGTATTGTAAGCTCATTGTTTTCAACAGGCATTACTGGTGTAGAAGCACCTCAACATAAGCTCTTAGTACAATGTTGTGGCAAAAAGGGACAATGTGATCCTTATATGTATATAAAGGGGAATATCAAGTAGAAGTGGGGAAGTGATCTTGCCTTGGTACACAGCCTTGATAATACCGCTACTACAATACAGTGTCCAGTTCTGGTGTCTAAAAGATAAGCTGTAATCCATCTTCTGGGAGAAATTCTGCAGCCTCTGCATGCAGCATGTTCATAGAATCATAGAAGATAAGGGTTGGAAGAGACCTCAAGAGGTCATCTAGTCCAACCCCCTGCTCAAAGCAGGACCAACACCAACTAAATCATCCCAGCCAGGGCTTTGTCAAGCCAGGCCTTAAAAACCTCTAAGGATGGAGATTCCACCACCTCCCTAGGTAACCCATTCCAGTGCTTCCCTCACTCTGCTGGCAATGCTCCTACTAATACAGCCCAATATGCTGTTGGTCTTCTTGACAACAGGGGCACACCGTTGACTCGTATCCAGCTTCTCATCCACTGTAATCCCCAGGTCCTTTCCTGCAGAACAGTCGGCCCCCAGCCTCTGGCAGTGCATGGGATTCTTCCGTCCTAAGTGTAGGACTCTGCACTTGTCCTTGTTGAACCTCATCAGATTTCTTTTGGCCCAATCCTCTAATTTGTCTAGGTCACTCTGGACCCTATCTCTACCCTCCAGCTTATCTATCTCTCCCCCCAGCATAGTGTCATCTGGGAACTTGCTGAGGGTGCAATTCATCCCATCATCCAGATCATTAATAAACATGTTGAACAAAACTGGCCCCAGGACCGACCCTTGGGGCACTCCGCTTGATACCGGCTGCCAACTAGACATGGAGCCATTGATCAGTACCCATTGAGCCTGACGATCTAGCCAGCTTTCTATCCACCTTATAGTCCATTCATCCAATCCATACTCTTTTAACTTGCTGGCAAGAATACTGTGGGAGACCGTATCAAAAGCTTTGCTAAGGTCAAGATATATCACATCCACCACTTTCCCTATATCCACAAAGCCAGTTATCTCATCATAGAAGGCAATCAGGTTAGTCAGGCATGACTTGCCCTTGGTGAATTCATGTTGACTGTTCCTGATCACCTTCCTCTCCTCAAAGTGCTTCAAAATGGATTCCTTGAGGACCTGCTCCATGTTTTTGCCGGGGACTGAAGTGAGGCTGACCAATCTGTAGTTCCCTGGGTTCTCTTTCTTCCCCTTTTAAATATGGGCACTATATTTGCCTTTTTCCAATCATCCAGGACCTCCCCCAATCGCCACGAATTTACAAAGATAACACTGGTCTACAATTTTTGAGAAGTCGTCTGCTTCAGAGATAAAATGTGCTATTTATTATGTATTTTGATGTGCTGAATTCAAATATGACAATTAAAACAACTTTATATAAATAAAATTTATTATGAAACAAAAGGCAAAAAACTATTATGTACATAGTTTAGTCCTATTCAGTGTCTACTCAGCGCTTCTTGGCTTGTCTCTTGTATTCATTAAATGGAGCATCTCTTGTCACTGTCCAGCAATAATCTGCAAGCATTGATGGGCTCCATTTTCCCTGATAGCATTTCTCCATTGTTGCAATGTCCTGGTGAAATTGCTCGCCATGCTCGTCGCTCACTGCTCTGCAGTTCGGTGGAAAAAAATCTAGATGAGAGTGCAAAAAATGTATCTTTAGTGACATGTTGCAACCAAGGCCTTTGTATGCCTTGAGGAGGTTTTCCACCAACAACCTGTAGTTCTCTGCCTTGTTGTTTCCAAGAAAATTTATTGCCACTAACTGGAAGGCTTTCCATACCGTCTTTTCCTTGCCATGCAGTGCATGGTCAAATGCATCATCTCGAAGAACTTCATGAATCTGAGGACTAACAAAGACACCTTCCTTTATCTTAGCTTCACTTAACCTTGGAAATTTTCCACGGAGGTACTTGAAAGCTGATGTGTTTTGTCAATGGCCTTGACAAAGTTCTTCATCAGACCCAGCTTGATGTGTAAGGGTGGTAACAAAATCTTCCTTGATTCAACAAGTGGTGGATGCTGAACACTTTTCCCCCCAGGCTCCAATGACTTTTGGAGTGGCCAATCTTTCTTGATGTAGTGGGAATCTCTTGCACGACTATCCCATTTGCAGAGAAAACAGCAGTACTTTGTGTATCAAGTCTGCAGACCAAGCAAGAGAGCAACAACCTTCAAATCACCACAAAGCTGCCACTGATGTTGGTCATAGTTTATGCACCTCAAAAGTTGTTT